GTTGGCGTCTCTGGATGATCCGAGAGGTCGCCGAGATGCCAGGAGTACACAACGTCGAGTGCGATCAATGTGCGTATGGGTTGTGGTGCACCGATGCTGTCGGCCCGGCGCCGGTCAAGAAGCCTACGGGATGGTTGACCGACTCCGCCGAGATAGCCCGAGAGCTGACGCGTCGGTGTCCTGGGTGTGCTAGGCATTGCCAGACGGTCGTCTTAGGTCGGCGTGGCATGCGCATCATCGAGCGGTGCCCGCCGAAGTGGCTGCGGTGCTGCGTGGGCTGCGTCGTGAGGCGATTGCCGGCCAGCTGGGTGCGCTGGAAGCCGGGCCGCATCTGGACGAGCCACCGATCTGGGACGCCTACCCAGAGTACTACACGGAGATCGTCGACAACATCAGCGGGGCCGCTCTGGACCCCGAGCAGAAGGAAATCAACATCCTGAGAGCCTCATACGGGGGTGTCGCACTGAACGTCTGCGAGGGGCCCCCCAGGTCCATGCTAGTGCGGTAGCGTGTCTCCGCTACGCACAGCCTGCAGCGGACGTTGGGCTTGCGGTCGTCACCCTTGTTGACGTCCACCCAGATCATGGGCACCGGGTCGCGCCTGGTCTCCTCGCGGCAGCGCTGCTTGGTGTCGTACACGTAGGCGCCCAGGCCGCGGAGAAACTCCATCTCCTCCTTGCGGCCAGCTGCCACGAGCTGCTCGCCCAGGAACGCCGAGGAGGACCAGCGCGTCCTCATGTTCCTGGACATCACTAGGGCTCACCCGCACTGCGAGATGAAGCGGAAGTTGTGGGTGAAGCTTCCTGCGGAGGACCCTCGCTCAGCTGGCCCCAGCGTGTGTGGGCTGCTGGTCAGGTGCCTCTACGGCTGCCGTGACGCAGGCCAGAACTTCGAGCTGTTGGTCCGTGAGACGCTGGAGGGCAAGATGGGCTTCTCCTGCGGCGTGTGGTGTCCCTGCATGTGCCGTAGAGGCGACGGCAAGCTCGTGGCCTACGTCTACGGCGACAACTTCGTGCTGAAGGGCTCCCGCACCGACAACCTGGAGTTCTACCGCGAGCTGCAGAAGTACATGTGGGTCAAGCTCGAGGGCATGTTGGGACCCAACAAGAGTGCTGGTGATGTTCAGGAGGTGGTCTGCCTGAACCGCGTCTTCCGCTGGACCTCGAGAGGTGGCGTGGAGCTCGAGGCTGACTCCCGCCACGCGCTCATCATGATGCAGCAGCTGAACCTCTGGCGTGGGTCGAAGGCCCTCTCGACGCCAGGAGTGAAGGCCAGGGGCGTGGACCGTGGCAGGGTCCTGGAGGGCGAGGAGGCGACTCGCTACCGCAGCCTGGCCATGCGAGCCAGCTATCTCAGCGAGGACCGCCCGGACATCAAGTACGCGGTCAAGGGGGCAGCGAAGTACATGCACGAGCCGTGTGAGCACGGCATGGAGCTAGTCAAGAGGATTGCCAGGTATCTCCTGGGCCGTCCGAGACTGGTTCAGAGGTTCCGACGCCAGCGCTGGTCAGGTGTGCTCAAGGGCTTCTCGGACAGCGACTTCGCGGGCTGCCTGGAGACCAGGAAGAGTACGAGCTGCGGAGTCTTCCAGCTGGGAGATCACATGATCAGGGTCTTCAGTGCGACCCAGGGCAGTGAGGCTCTCAGCTCAGGTGAGGCCGAGTGGTATGCTCTAGTGCACACAGCGTCCTGCGGGATCGGCCTGGTCTCGCTGGCGCGTGACATGGGTTACGAGCTGGAGCTATGTTTGGCTGGCGACACTACGGCGGCCAGTGGGATCGCGCATCGCCGAGGGGCGGGGCGCATCCGACACATCGAGACAAAGACTCTCTGGCTCCAGCGTCACGTGACCGAGCGTCGAATCATCCTTTCCAAGACGCTCGGCAAGGTCAATGTGGCAGATCTCGGTACGTAGCATCTGGCGCAAAAGGAGCTGGATGAGATGCTTGGACTGCTGGGATTTTTCGTGGCTGCGGGCAAGTCTGACCTCTCTCTCGCGGTCGCAGGCAACTTGCTTGAGCCTGGCCTAGCTTGCGAGCCCGAGGGCAAAGAGGAGGTGCAGGCATGACTTTCGTTTGATGTCGCCTGTGTCAGGCGACTGTGTTTTCGTGTGCGCAGGCATGTTTCTATGAGGTTGCATGTGGCGAGGCGTGCGAGTTTTCTTTTCAGCTTCGCTGGAGCAACCGGGAGATCGCCTGGGTCGAGTCTCGAGGGAGCTCGACGCGGCGGCGAGGAGGGCTGATCGGGTAGCTCTCGGATGTGCATGCCGTGACGTTTATTGTTACCATTGCCATATCTTGCTCAAGCTGAGAAACGGACATACCGTATATCAGCGGGAGCCGTGCCCCCAAGCCCGCGCGCTGGCAGCCGCGCGCGGGCAGAGCCATTCCTGGCCCCCGCAAGGTGCCTCCTCCCCGTCCTCCGAGGCCTTCCTGGGCCCACACCCTGGCCCTCCTGCAGCCCACACTCGCCACGCAGCCCCGAGGGCACCACGCCAAGCGTCCCCCAACCATTCCTGCTCTCTGGTCCTCTCCTGAACCAGCAACGGCGCTCGCTGCGCGCCTCCCTGGCCGCGCGCCGCCCTGGGTCTCGGCTGCGCTGCCTCGGCGGGCCGGATACCTGGGACCCGCAACAGTTTTGCCCCACCTTAGGCGCCCTTTGCTGTTCACACGAACGGTGGTGGGCCCGCTTTCCTCCTCGGCGCCCATCCAGTTCCCCCCTGCCGGCGGGCAGCCTCCCTTCCGTTCTTCTTTTGCCGACTTGCTCATGTTCGGTGCGTACCACGGTTTTGCTCGCTGGGGCCTCGCTGTCCCTGCTGGGGCGGCCGCCCCTTCCTCCCCGCGGGCCCACCCTGTTTCCCCCGGCAGGGGTGCCCGCCTTTCGATTTTTTTCGCTTGCACCTGTTCGGTGCCGCCTCGCTGCCACCACCTGGCCAGCCGCCCACCCCCCGGGTTGTCTGGATCCTCGCCAGGCCTCGCCGCCCCTTGGCCTAGTAACGCGGAAGGGACAACGAAAAATGTGGCTCCAGGGGCCGCCCAGCTGGCGCTGGGCAGTGCCCGGCGCGCCAGCTGGGCCCTTCTGCTGCTGCCCCCTGCGCTGGGCTGTTCGCCTTGCCGGAGCTGCTGCGCTGCCGCCCCACCTGTGGGCCTCACAGGTGGGGCGTCGTCCTCCCTGTTCGTTTTTTCGCCCCCGTTCGCTCTCCCTCCCTCCGCGCGCGGCCATGGCGCTGCCTGGCTGCTTGCAGCCGTCGCCCCAGGCTGTCCACAGCCCCTCCCCCCGCCGGCCTCCCGGGCTTGGTCTTGCCGCCCGCTGCTGGTGCCTCGATTTTGCTGACCACTTCGCCCTCCCACCCTGGGGATGGGTCCGCTTGGCACCCTTACCCCTTGGGGTGGTACCCACCTCCGCACTGCGCTCCGCCGCCGCTGGCCCCCCGATGCAGCAGCCGCCGCGGGCCCGCCGGCTGAGCTGGCCGCGCCACTCGCTCCCTCCAACCTTTCTTGCGGCCTCCTTCTTTTCCTTTCCCCCCTCCTGCATGGTTGCGCAATTTGCTTCGACGGTCCCCTCGTTGTAGCTCTTCCCGCTAGCGCAGCCGACCCCTGCCTCGCCGCCGACGCAAACAGTATGCGACGTGTGTTTTGCAGCGAAGCCCCTGTTTTCGGAGAAGCTCCCCGCGCCCATTCGGGAGGCCTTCCCCTTGCACCGCCCCCGCCGTGCGCGCGGCCGGGGGGCGCCGCGAGGTGCATGCCGAGAAAACGCCCTGGGCAAAGTGACGCCCCGAGCGAAAAGCGCCGCCGCGGGGCCCCTGGGCGGCGCTCGCCGGCGATCTTGCTCGAAGGCCTTCGGAGGCCTCCGGAGGGTTCCGGTCGGGGGTGCTCGGGGTTTCGCGGGGGGTTCTCGGAGGCTCCGGCTCGTCCTCCTTGTCCTCGTCCTCCTTTCCTCTTTCCTCCTTCACCTCTTTTCTCCCCTCCCCCTCCTTCCTCTTCCTCCTTCCTCCTGTTTCTCCTCCTCCTCCTCCTCCTCTTTCCTGGTCCTGGCCCTGGTTCTGAAACGCTCGTCCATCATGAAGGGGAGGGGGCCCTGGAGGAGACGGGTCCCCGAGGTCTTTTGCTGTGTCCGTTCTCCCTGGGGCCCTCCCTGGGGCCCTTTGGGTGTCGAGAAACGGCTCGTAAGGGGGAGCAGGACCCTTGGGGCCAACGTTTTGGGGGGACATTCTCAGGGGGGATGCATCGACCCCCACTCGTCCATTGATCGCCGACAGGGGCCCGATAGCCCACCCCGCCCAGGAGCGTTCGGATTCGCTATCGTGGGCCCAGTGCCAATCCATCGGCGATGTATCGCCAATTTCACGTTGATGTCCCCCCCCTGAGCCGGTTCCTCTCAGGGGAATGCCTGGGAACCAGGACCTGTTTCCACCAGGACCTCTGCTCCATGCCAGGGGGCTTGCTGAGCGCCTCTTGAGGGCATCTGACATCTGAGGGGCCTCTTGGGCGCCTCCAGGGGCCGTCGTTGGGGCCTCTTGGCCCGTCTTAGGGCCCTCTTGTGGGCTTCTTGGACAGTCTTGGGGCTATCTTGGAATCCCCTGTGGCCGTCGTCGGCTTTCGGAAGCCCGAGAAGTCGAGAAGACGAAATTCATTGAGCAACCTTAGATAGGGGAAGCAACGTTTTTGTGTTCTTCTGGCCCTCCTGTAGGGCTTCTTGGAGGCCTCGTAGGTCGTGTTGAGGCCGTGTTAGACTAGGAGCCATGTTGGGCAGTCTTGGAGGCATTTTGGGCGAACTTTGAGTTCTCTTGGACCTGTTCCGTCTTGGAGGCTCACATATTTTCTCTAGGTCTTATTTTTGTTGATACGGCGCAAGCGGAGCGGCAAGCATCACATAGCACGCGAACATTAAGCGTCTGCTTTTCGGGGGGAGCTACATTTGCGAGCAAACGAGGTTGGCCTTGCGCAATATCCGGGTCGTGCAAGCCTTTCCACTGTCGGGGTGAAGCATACAGACAAGCGATGAACACATACATGAGCTGGAAGCACGTGACAAGCTGAGCGCTGCATGCAACTTGGGCGCGTGTATGTCAGTTGGGAATCCTTTGACGGATGAACGGCTATTTCAACTTTATGTGTTTCTGTAAGGCATGGCGACAGAAGATGGCTTGCTGCTGTTGCCGCTTTTTAGACTCCTCCTCCATCTTCTCATCCATATACCTCGCAAGGCGCACTGCCCCCCGCTTCTAGGTCCTCCCAAGAGAGACCCCTGGACCTGTCTTGGACTGCGTTCTGACCAGACTTCCGAGGCGGATCCAGCCGTGGCGAACGAGGAGGCTCCTATATGCCCCAATACACCCCCAAACATTTTAGAACTTACATACCCAGGCCTCGGCCTGGAAATCTCGATCCAGGAGGCCCACAACAATTTACAAACATCCAAGAACTTAGATCCTCAGGCCTCGGTACTGGGAATCTCGATCCTCGATTCTTCCTCCACGCTTCCCACGCCTCCCCGTCGCAGTTTTTTTTGTATCAAGGGAGAGTCACCCCGGCCGCGTCGCGCGCCCGCAACCTTCGACAGCTATGGCTTCCGTACGCAGGCAGCGTGCCGCATTCGGATGGATCTCTTGGAGAAGAGGGTGAGGATAAGAGGAGGAACAGGTTCCGATAGCTACCCTTTCCTCGTAATCACGGTTGGATTTGCCACGAGATTCTGGTCAGACTGCACCCGAGGAGAGGTCCATGGAGTAGTGGTACGGGTATGGTCTTGCTTCCCCAGATGATTCTGGCGATTGCTACGATGATCATGCGAAAGCAGCACTGACTGCCTTACGACATACGGTAAGTGGCTGCGCTGCTGATGGCCACTGGGGAGCAGCGACGACCACGATTATGGTGTTTAGTTGTAATGACTACTACCTTGATGATGGTGAGGTGGGGGTGCGGATGCCCAAATATGATGAACACGACGGTGCTGGCGACGACGATGGTGCGTGCTCCACGTTCTGCCAACCACGATGCTGCTGCCAAAACTGCCGATGATGGGTGGCATGGGCCAGGAAAGAGCGCCGCTGGATCACCCGCCAGTTGAAAAGGAGGGGTGCCTCAGCAGCTTCTCCCCCCCTCCCACTCCGGGCGAACCAGCGGCTTACTTGTTCATCCGTAAGGGCTTCGCTCCCTGCCGCCGGCCCCCCTCTTTTAGAATGGGACTTGCCAGAGCTGTGTTGGGATGTCTGGACGCTGACGTGAAGCAATGTCGGGACTTCACGCGAGGGCCAATATTAATTTACAAAGGTTTACGATTTTGGTGGCGCGAGTATTACGTAATTTGCTATGGCTTATGGCTTCGGGGACGCGAATAACGTGTAGCTTACAAAGGTTTGTGGCCTCGGGGACGCACATATCGTATGATTTAGAAGGTTCTATGTCCTCGGGGGGCGCATATATTGTGTAATTTACCAGGGTTTGTGGCTTCGGGGACGCGAATATTGTGATTTGCAAGGGTTTGTGGCTTCGGGGATGCAAGTACCGTGTAATTCACGAAGGTTTATGGCCCTGGGAACGCGAATGCTGTATCATTTTCAATGGTTTATGGTTTCGGGGGCGCGAATATGGTATAATTTACGAGGGTTTATGGTTTCAGGGACGCGAATATTGAATACATTCGAAGGGTTTATGGCTTCGGGGGCTGGTGTGATCTACTGGGGATAATCGCCTCGGGGATGCCAATATCAGGTTTTTTTACGTGTCCCACGCCCCCCCAGGAATTCAGACAACGCGATCTGGGCGTGGTAAGAAGGCTGGTTTGGGGCTCCCCCCCTCTCGCGTTCAGCAACAATTTGCAATATGAAGCAGAGAGCAGTACTGTAACATTGGAGGCTTGAAACTGGAACTGGTGCAGGGAGCATGACAGCCTAATCTTCGCAGCCTGATGGCCCCGCAAGGGGGCCGGCGGATTTCATATGCGGGCGTATGAGCTTAACCTCTCTCCGTTCTCTTTGCTTGCTTGTAGCACGGGGCATGTTTGCACAGAGCGGTCCGAAACCGTTCTGGCTCAAGCCGACCGGTGACACGCGTACTTTGGCCTCTTGCAGTGAGAAAAGTAGTGCTCCTCACCATCCCAGTATATCTTGAGAAGGGTTCGTCTAGGAGCATACACTCCTTCGACAAGGTCAGACCGCCGTCCGGCACGTCGACAGGCTTGGCGGAGACAGAGCACGCTGGTCAGGCACGTGAGGCTCGAACGATCTCCGTGAAAAAGCTGGGAGCAGTAGTGAAAGATGTGTTCACCGAGATGACTGGCTCTGCATGGAGCTGGTCTTCCCTGCCCCTGGCAGGGCGGTCGCTGGAGAGACGCGGGATGGGGCGAGAACAGCTGGAGAAGGGAGGCGTCTGTGGAGGCCGACCAGCAAGCTACTGAACCCCAGGAGTCTCGGCCCAGCAGAACGTGCAGCAACACGGAAACGACGAGTGGCACCGAGACGACCCCTGGTCCCAGGGTTGACGGCCCGATGAGCGCGGTCTTTGGAGTTGGAAGTGTTCGTGGAACGAGACAGCCGACACGGAAAAGGACCAGGGGTGGAGCGACGCCATGTGGACAAGCCCAGACAAGTCTCATTGGCAGTGGGGCTCAGGCGAGTTGTCCAGCGACGCTCGCCGAGCGGACTATATTGACCCCGAGCACTGGATGAATTGGGCCGACTACAAGATCTGGAAGCGGAAGATCTTCATATGGCAGAACAACGCAGATGTGGCATGTCCGAGGAGAGCAAGCATATCGAGAGATGAAGCAGTTGACGGTAGAGTTGCAGCGCAAGCTTGAGCATCTTCCCGACCAAGTTCAGGAGGGAGCAGGAGGAGTCGCCGCAATTTTTGATCATTGTGACATTTTGTCAGGGGAGCGTCAAGGCGACGAACAGCGTACAGCAGCCAAAGAGTGCTTGCTGCATATTTGTCGTCAGTCTTCAGAGTCGCTGTGCGTGACACGGCGCGCGTGGATGTTCAGCTCGATCTTTGGGCGGGGCTTGCTGCTGCCCGACGAGTGGCATGTTCTTGGAGGAGGTCGCCGCCCTCGCCGCGCAGGGGGCCCACTCAGTGAGGTATTTGACGACAGACGCGAAGACCTGCGACGAGGCGCTGAGAGCTCTAAGAGATCTGAATGCGACGAAGAAGGAGAGTCTAACCTCGACTCGGGTGAAGACGACAATGGCTGGCGATTTTTCCGAATGCGTGCCAGGGCGTGCCCGGGAAGACGTGCCCAGCCTGGAGGGCGTTCTTCTGATGTGCAGCGACCTGAGCTCTATGAGATCGGGGGGCGAGATGACCCAGCTGGGCGCCGTTGAGAGCAAGGGCATGCAGGGGGAAAGGGGGTTCCTGATATGCTGGCCCAGGTCTGGGCGGAGCGCGCGGGGAGACGTGGAAGCATGGCGGGGACTACACGCGACAGCTGAAAGTGGGCGGGAAGTCTTTCAGCGACCTCCACCCGTCTCTGGAGCGACCGACCGCGCATCTGGTGGCAGAGACGACTGGGGGCATCGTGGCCGGGGAGGTCACGTGCGAGAGCGCAAGACCATAATGGCGATTTCAGAGGTCATCATGCGGACGCAATGCCGGGAGTGTAAGCAGAAGGGCCGCTGGGGGGGCGAGTGCCCGAACCCCCCTGCGGCCGGGCCCCCGGCGCCCTCCGCCGTCATCGTCCCCGACAGTGGCGCGTCGGACTCGGGCCCGATCTTGGCGGCCGTGGAGCAGGTGGAGAAGTGGGTCGACCGCGCCCGTGGGATCTTGTCCAAGGCTCTCGCGGGCGGGCCGTGGGTCGACGGCGCCTTTCTGCAGCTGGCGGCCGGGCGTCTACAGGCTCCGCCCGGGGCCGTGGTGGCGCGGTGATCGACGCCGCGGCCGGCCAGGGCTTCGTCGGTGAGCCGGCTGCGTTCAAGTGGAGGTCGGACCTGAAGCAGAATGGCCACCGCGCCGTGCGGGTGCCCCCCTTGCGCGAGAATGCCTGAGGCATCGGCGGCGCCGTGAAGATTTTTGGCGGTGTGCTGGTCCTTATTGGCGCTGTGCGGTGCGTGGGGGCGTTGGAGATAGATGCGATGAGCGCAGGCATTCCCTCCTGATTCCAGTTTCGCTCCGGGGCTTTGGGGGGCTGCGTTGAGCTCCCAGGGGGCGCCGTGTTCCATTCCCGCGGTGGGTTTCTCGACAGACCTGACACGGCTTCCGTCGGGTCACAAGTGCTTGTTTGTGTGCGAGATGGCCCCTCCGGACCTCTTTGAGCGGCCGGAGGGTTTCCTGGAGGAGTGCCCTCGGCTGAGCGCCGACAGTTTCCGAGTTTGCGCGGGCGAAGATTGCGGGGCCATCGTCTCCCTTTTTTTCTTCGCGCAGGGCCAGAGCGGGGTCTCGGGGGCTCCGAAGCCCCGAGATCTGAAGGGCCCGAGGTGGACGTGACAGGCCCCCTCGTTCAGGGCGATTGCACTTCCACTGCTTCCCGCCTCGTCTCGTCCTCTTCATCGCCTCGTCTCTCCTCTTCTCCGTCTCCGAACTGAGAGGCCGACCGTGGCGACGCGCGCGACGTTCGAATCGACTCAGAGGGGTTCGACGATGCGACTGGGCTCGATTATTGGGTCTTAACGCTCTGAGGCGAGTTCATCGGGCCCACTCCGCGAGATCCATTCTGTTTCTCCAAGCGAAGTCGCAGAGTTTGCGTGGATGGGGCATTCCGGCATTGGGATCGTTTCCGACTCCGCGGCGGCTCAGGCTCGAGTGCCTCGCGGAGAGATCGCGGGCGGTCTGGTTCCCGTGCCGCCGCCCCCGCAGAAGTTCGACGCCCCGGCTGGAGACGCGGGGGGCGGCGGGTGCCTTGGCCAGGGGGACAGGTGCTCCAGCCCGCGTGTTGAGTTACCCGCTGGAGGGGGGGAGTTCGTTTTCCAGGGCCGTTGCATTTCTCTGGGCGTCGGAACCGTCGTGCCATGTGTCGAGCCGGTTCCGCCGCGTGCTTCCGCCCTCGGTCTTTTGACGGGTGCCGCCGCCAGCCTGGCCGCCTCGACGGAGAGGGTTCTGTTCCGGGAGGTCTTCAGAAGACGACCCCGGGGCCTTGGAATCACCCGGTCGAAGCGGCTCGTCGCCCGCCAGATCGGTCTTTCGCCGGGCCGAGGAAGCATCTTTCCCAGATTCGGATGTCGACGTGCGCCCCGCGACCCTCGTGAGCTGTCGGGCTCGGCCTAGTGCAGTGCGTCGGAGCCAGCTGTTGGGCCTGGGGCCCGTCGCGAGGGGGCTGCCTATTCGGGGAGAGGACTTTGGAGGTGTTCCGCGCGGGCGCGTGAGACGGCAGGTGGGCGATCGGGGGCCCCGAGGCCGCAGTGGCGGGGCCTCGTCCAGAGGTCCGGAGGAGGCTCGGGAAAGGCACCGGGCTGCCGAGAGTATCGGGGGCCTCATTTTGTTTGGCGGATATAGACGGGGGCGCGCCAGGCGCCCCGACTCTGCTCGTGCGTGGGGGGGGGGGGGGGCTGGGGGGGCGAGCAAGATCTGCGTGAATTTTTCGTCGCGTCTATGGATTAGAATTGTTCTTGTGTGGCTGGAGCGGCAAGTGGCGCTCGCGCTTGAACGGGGATGTCGATATTATCGCAGGCGTTCGGTCGGGGCATCCTGGGCGCAGTCTGACTCTTGCTGCGGCGAAGGGTCAGGGGGTCAGGGGGTTGTCTCCGAAAAATGCGCCGAGTTCGATCTATCCGACCAGGCCGAGTGGCCGAGTGGTCGGCCGCCCAGGGGGTCCGGGGCGGCCCGCGTGCCCCCGCCGCGCGTTGCTCGACTCAGTCGTCGGGGGGCCCCAGACAAAATTGCGCCCGGTCGCGTGGTGAGAAGGTGGGGGCCTCAAGAAGGCGCGCGCGCACGTCCGAGTGCTAGTGGCAGATGGCGCGTCCGAGGGCATGGGGGCGCATGCGCGGCCGAGCTGAAAGTTTGTGCTTTCGCATATGGAATCGCTGATGCCCTTCCTAGTGGTGTCTGTTACGTGCGGCCTCCAGCTGTTCGCGGGCGACCTCGTGAATGCGTTTTGCCAGAACGACGAGTTGAAGCGTGAGTCGGGTCGGGTCTTCGTAGAACCTTTCGGGGGGCTGGGGCTAGAATTTTGTGTCATCGTAGCATTGTGCGCGCCAGTGTGCAGATTGGGCGACGCGCCGCTAGCATTGCGTCGTACTGCAGCTGACATCTTCCAGAACGTACTTTTCCACGAGAGTGTGACAGGGCCGCGTTGGTTTTGCGATGGAGCTCCCAACGGGGGTCATAGGGCACAGATATTGGTGGATGTAGGCGATTGAGTTTGTGCGGAGCATCCCTCCGTGGATCGGCAGCGTCGCCAGTCCTTAAAAAACGGTCTCGGTTCAGTGACCTTCATTCAGCCTGTGGGCGGCGATGGGGGTGGACTGCGTCGGCAGGAGATTGCGTTGTCTGAAAGACTGGGTGTTGGTGGATCAGGAGAAGTATATTTTCGAATCGGTGGCGCAGGTTGAGCTTCCCCGCAGTCGAGCAGGTTATCGCAGTGCTCCCTTGCTGTGCCCCGAACGTCTGCGGTTCGGGTCTCTCGCGCGTCGTCTGTCGTGGGTGGGCAATGGGGCGGGGGCGGGGGCGCAGATGCGCGGGGCCGTGCCGATGTGGCCCTGCCGTCGAGGATCCGACCGTGATGGGCTTGTTGCAGGCCGACAAGGCGGTCGAACATCGTCGCGACACAGCCAGCGTGCCCATCGCAGTCTGAAAGCATCGTCCCGGGTCAATGGTTTTCGGCACTGTTAGTGATTGCGGAGGCGCAGGATGAGATGGGCCAGATTGAGCGCAGCAGGCGTGGCAGGTGTTGGGAGCAGATCGTTTTCTTTCAGATGGAAGTCTTGCCAGAGTCACATCGATCGCCTGAGCGAGATAGCGCTCGCGAGGCTGGGGCCCGCCAGCATCGCCTGCGGCGTTGTGAACGGGACGTGCGAGAAGAGCAGGCGTCGGCAGCGGCGGCGGGCCGCGGTGCTGCTGAGCGAGATGGTGGTCGCGAAGCTGGAGCCCCGCATCATCACCTACGGCGCTTTGAACAGCGCGTGCGAGGAGGGCAGGCGTCGGCGTGGCAGCGGGGCGTGGCGCTGCCGAGAGAGATGCAAGCGTAGAAACTGGAGCCCGCCATGAATCGCTACACCACCATGAGCGGCGCGTGCGAGAGGGTCTGGCTGCGGCAGTCGCAGCAAGCAATGGCGCTGCTGAGCGAGATTGTGGTCCCAGAGCTGGAGCCCGCCGTCATCAGTCAGAGCATTCCGAGCAGCGCGTGCGAGGCGAGAAGGCTGCGGCAGTGGCTGCCGGCCATGTCGCTGCTAAGCGAGATGGCAGTCGTGAAGCTGGAGCCCAACACCAACATCATCCCCACCTACGGCAGTGTGAACAGCGCGTGCGAGAAGAGCAGGCGTCTGCAGTGGCAGCGGGCCTTGGATGCAGTGGCAGCGCGTGTGAAGGAGGTGGCAGGGGGCGCAGTCGCCGCGGCAGTGGCACGGAGGGGAGAGACGGAGAGCACGACGACGGCAGTGGCAGCACGATGGTTGGTGGTGGGGGAGGCCGTAGCAGCATCGTGGGAGGAGAGAGGGCCGGGCGGCGTCGACCGCCGGCCCCTTCCGTCGACGACGTTCCGGTGGAAGGGGGAGGTGGAGGACGTCGGTTGCGGCGGCGGCGGCGGTTGCGTTGGGGTGAGGGCGGCTGTGGCAGCTAGCCTGGGCGCTGCTGCGGTAAGAGGAGTAGACCAAGCGGTCCCCTCTGACGACGATGACCTGTAGGGCGGTCTGGGGCGATTGCACTTGCAGTGAAGTTTCCGGCTGCCTTCCCGCCGCCGCTGCAGACGCTGGGGTCGATTCTTACAGAAAGTGCAGCCTTCAGCTGCTTCCTGGTTCAGCCACTTCCTGGTAGCGCGGGCGCCCGCCAAGCGCCGCGCACCCGGGGGCCCGTTGAGAAAGCGGGCGCGCCCAGGGGGGCGGCCGGGGAGCGGGGCCCGCGGCGCGGGGAGAGCGCCGGAAGGACGGGGCGGGCGTCGCCCGGAGCCGCAAACCCTGGGGGGCCCGCTGAGTAAGCGGGCGCACCCCGAGGGGGCGGCCAGAGGCCGAGCGCGCCGCCAGCGGCGCCCGAGCGCGGGCGCCCCATGCCATGGACGGGGGCCTTTTGAGAACGGGGGCATGCCTGGGTGAGGGGCAGGCGCCGCGGGCGTTGGCCAGACAGCCACTGCGGCTGGGGGGGGGGGAACTTGTTCCACCCTGGACGCAGCCCGCCGCGCGCGGACGCTGAGGTCGGCGTGGCTTCTTTGCAGAAGGTTCAGCCTTCAGCTGCTTCCTGGTATCCTGGTATGTCGACCAACAGTGGGCCACAGTGGGCCGCTCAGAATGGGGGCGTCATGCCATCCCTGCTCGGAGCACGGGCCCAGCAGCAGACAGGAGGCTTGCGGGGGGCGTTCGCGACGGCGACGGCGACATGCGTTCCCACGCGTGGTGGTGTTGCATCTGTACTCGGCAAACCAGTGGCCTTCTGCCACTTCCTGGTAGCGCTTTCTGCCCAGCGCCCGCTGTCCCCCGCTCATGGGGCCCTGGCAGCTGCCTGCTGACGGTGCCGGCGCGTGGACTGCCGCTGGGGCCGTGGTCCACCTGTCCCAGTTGGCCTCTGGCCCTGCTGTAGATGTTTTCACCGCAATCGGCGCGCTCCGCTCCCCGCGCCCGCAGGCAGCTGCCTCGCGCCGAGCTGTTTTGCCCCCCGTGTAGGGGCAGCCCTGCCTCACTCCGTCCTGCCCCCCCCGCTCAGGTGGCTGGGCGTCGCAGCGGCCCCGTCGGCCCTGGCCCCTGGCCCCCCCGGCTCCATTGGGCCAGCCCCATCGGTGGCGCATGGAGTCCCTGAGTGCACGTGGTTCAGCCTGTGCTCTCCTGGCTGTCGGATGACTGTGTTGACTGCGCCCGCGGTTCCTGGCGGCGATGCCCACGGCGCTCTCGTGTTCACTCGACCCCGTGCCTGGGACGTGGATTGCCCTGCTCCTGGTCAGCTCTCCGACGTCGGCGCCCTTGTTCGTGAGTGCGCTCGGCTTTTCCTGATCCGGTGGTTCAGGCGAGTTACGGTTTCGATTGCATCCATCGTTTCCCTGACTATTTCGCTGGACCTCCCGGGAGCACCCCGTGGACGCTTGTATGCAGGATCAGTGCTCCCTTCAGGAGTCTCGGTGTGCGACTTTGGTGGCGCCACCCTATGCGCCAGTTTTATGGCCAGTATGGTCTCCTGGCAGCTGATGCAGTGTACTGTTGGTTGCCTTCCTGGCCACGTCCTGGTACCACCCCCGCGCCATTTTGGCCGCGCTCCAACCCCGGTTGGTCAATCGTGCATGTGCGCGCTCCTGGACCCGGTTCCTGGCAGCTGCAGCCCGCGCCCCCCCTCGCGCCGGCTCGTCGGCGTTAGGCAATTCGGCTCTTGCGCGGCCCGCTCGGACCTTGCTCGCCGCTGGAGCTCTCGCCTGCGGTTGCGACGAACAAAATACCCACCAGCCCATCCAGAAACGATGCCCATGAGAGTTGCCGGGGGGAGAGGGGGACAGACACGCATAGTCAAACAGCGAGGGAGGCTTGGGAGGTTCCGTGGCCATCTCGAGCCGTCGTGGAGTGTTTTTTGGGGCCGCTTGGAACATCTTGGTAGCCGTCTTGAACCAGCTTGGGCTATCAGTGCCATCTTGGAGGTCATTTTGGGCTCGCTGAGGCCTCTCGGGGGCCTCTTAGGGTCTTAGGGGCCTTTCGGGTGCCTCTTGGAGGCCTCTTGGGGCTTCTCGGGGCGCTCTTTGGGTCCTCTTGGGGGCTTCTTGGGGGCCCTGGGGGGCCTCCTCGGGGCCATCTTGGGAGCGGTCGGTCAAAAAACGGGGGTCGTCGATTTGCCTCCCCCATCGGGGGCCACGATTCTCGTGAGGAGTGTGAGAATTGGTTGCCGAAAAAAAGGGCCCTTTGGGGGCGGGGTCGCGATGTGAGCTTCCCAGATTTATTTCGACGCTCCTGACGCTCGTGGACACGCGACCGACCCCTTCCACCGTTATTTCCACCACCAGTACGCTCTTTGCCAGACCGCGTGCGCTACATCGGATTCATCGTACGCGGCTTGACCGCCGTGGGCATCGGCGCCATCATATGCCGCGTAATGCGAGAACGCGATGGAGATCAAGTGCAGGGTTCACCCTGCAGGAAATTCCCCGTACCGTCCATGGGTCGGAGAAGCACACGCCTGGCTCAACATCCACACGTGTGACACTACAACAACAAACAGCAACGCCACAACGTGGCCTACATGGGGCTGGCGAGGACTCGCCATGGGCGCCAGAGTCTTTGGGATACGTGCGGATCGTTCACCTACTTCCTGTATTACGTACTTGCTGTATTACTTGTTGTTTTGTTCGGCGTTTTGTTTGTGTTATGAATGTTTTTCCCAACCGTCCTGTTTTGTTGGGTCCTTTTTTTGATTCAGCGGTCCCCGCGTTCTCCCCTCCTCCTCTGCCCCCCTTCCCGCTACCGTCCGCATGCGTCCCGCACACCCATTACAGCGTTTCGTGGTCCTCCTCCCCTCCCCACCCAGTACAGCGTTTCGTGGCCCCATAGGGAGCCCCACCGAAGGTCCCAGTGCTACCGTCCGCATGCGTCCCGCACACCCACTACAGCGTTTCGTGGCCCCGTAGGGAACTCCACCGAAAATCCCACTGCTACCGTCTGCATGCGGCCCGCACACCCAGTACAGCGTTTCGTGGCCCTCCTCCCCCTCCTCCCTGCGTTTCACCCACCCAATACAGCGTTCGTGGCCCCATAGGGAGCTCCACCGAAGGCCCCAGTTGGGGTTTTCGCATGCGTCCCGCACACCCATTACAGCGTTTCGTGGCCCCATCGGGAACTCCACCCAAGGTCCCAGTGCTACCGTCCGCATGCGTCCCGCACACCCAATACAGCGTTTCGTGGTCCTCCTCCCCCTCTTCCCTGCGTTTCGCCCACTCAGCACAGCGTTTCGTGGCCCCTTAGGGAGCCCCACCGAAGGTCCCAGTGCTACCGTCCGCATGCGTCCCGCACACCCAGTACAGCGTTTCGTGGCCCCATAGGGAGCCCCACCGAAGGCCGCAGTGCTACCGTCCGCATGCGTCCCGCACACCCAGTACAGCGTTTCTTGGCCCTCCTCCCCCTCCTCCCTGCGTTTTACCCACCCAGTACAGCGTTCGTGGCCCCACAGGGAGCCCCACCGAAGGTCCCAGTGCAACCGTCCGCATGCGTCCCGCGCACCCAGAACATCGTTTCGTGGCCCCATAGGGGGCTCCACCCAAGGCCCAAGTGCCACCGTCCGCATGCGTCCCGCACACCCAGTACAGCGTTTCGTGGCCCCATAGGGAACTCCACCGAAGGTCCCACTGCTACCGTCCGCATGCGTCCCGCACACCCAGTATAGCGTTTCGTGGCCCTCCTCCCCCTCCTCCCTGCGTGTCGCCCACCCAGCCAGCACAGCGCTTCGTGGCCCCATAGGGAGCCCCACCGAAGGTCCCAGTGCTACCATCCGCATGCGTTTCACCCACCCAGTACAGCGTTTCGTGGCCCCATAGGGAGCTCCACCGAAGGTCGCAATGGGGGCGTTCGCATGCGTCCCGCACACCCAGGACAGCGTTTCGTGGCCCTCCTCCCCCTCCTCCCTGCGTTTCACCAATCCAGTTCAGCGCTTCGTGGCCCCATAGGGAGCCCCACCGAAGGTCCCAGTGCTACCGTCCGCATGCGTTTCACCCACCCAGTACAGCGTTTCGTGGCCCCATAGGGAGCTCCACCGAAGGTCGCAATGGGGGCGTTCGCATGCGTCCCGCACACCCAGGACAGCGTTTCGTGGCCCTCCTCCCCCTCCTCCCTGCGTTTCACCAATCCAGTTCAGCGCTTCGTGGCCCCATAGGGAGCCCCACCGAAGGTCCCAGTGCCCCCGTCCGCATGTGTCCCGGAAGCCCAATGTGGCATTTTCACCCACCCAGTGCAGCGTTTCGTGGCCCCATAGGGGGCTCCACCCAAGGCCCCAGTGCCACCGTCCGTATGCGTCCGGGAAATGTAATTTAGCATTTTCACCCACCCAGTGCAGCGTTTCGTGGCCCCATAGGGGGCCCCACCGAAGCCCCCAGTGGGACCGTCCGCATGCGTCCCGGAATCCCAATTTGGCATTTTCACTCACTCAGTAGAGCGCTTCGTGGCCCCATAGGGGGCTCCACCCAAGCCCTCAGTGGGACCGTCCGCATGCGTCCCGGAAACCGAATTCGGCACACCACCACAGTACAGCGTTCCCCCCCGCCCAGTGCAGCGCTTCGTGGCCCCATAGGGAGCTTCACCGAAGCAGATATGCACCATTACGGTACCCACAATTGCATATGGTTGGGACCTTCGCCAGGACAATTTGTTCTTGCTGGTAACGATGCTGCTGATTGTTGATCCTAGCGGTGCGTTCAGTTGTAGGTGTTTCTTTGTTTGCTACGTGCGACGCGCGGTGTTTTGCTATTGTTTTGTTTGGTACTGTCGCTCCAGCTTGTGTTGTGCTTTGTTTGTGTTGCACGTCTGGGTCATTCTAGCTGGCTCTTTGATTGTTAATGCGTTCTGCATGCGTTTCTTTTGTTCCTTGTTTTGTTGCGGTCTGTTGCATTACCCCTTTCATTTTGTTTTCTCTCTCTTCCGTCTCACCGTCCTCCCCGTTTATTTTAATTCGCTTTTCTCCGTTTACCTTTCCTCAATTCGTCTGGCCTTCTTTTTTTTTCCCATTTGCATCTGGCCCTCCCTCCGTTTTCGTTTTGCACGCCTTGTATTGTGCCCTCCTTCCCTTTCGTCGTGCCTCCCCTTTTTCGTTTTGCTTTCCTTTCCGGTTGCCCTCCAAATTCGTTTCGGTCTCCCTCCCTGCTCGGACTTTTCTTGCGTAGACTTTCCCTGGGGTCCATTCTGATCCGATTCTTCGACGCGGATCCAGCCATGGCGACGAGAAGCCTCCAGGAGGCCCAAAACGGACGAACAAAAGCCAGGTTGGGCCGCCGTTGTTTCTTTTACCGACCTGATCAGTTCCGACCTGACTTGGGCGGCCCGCGTGAGATCGGTGCCCCGACCCTCCCTGCGGCCAGAGAGGCTTTTAGGAGGCCCGCAGAGAAGAATTATATTAGCCTGGCGAAGGACCCAATCATATGCAGTTGTGAGTACCGTCTTTGTGAACAACGCATTTGGTGGGGCTCCCTATGGGGCCACGAAGCGCTGTCCTGGGTGGGGGAGACGCATGCGAACGCCCCCATTGCGACCTTCGGTGGAGCTCCCGATGGGGCCACGAGACGCTGTCCTGGGTGGAGGAGACGCATGCGAACACCCCCACTGGGGCCTTCGCGGTGGAGCTCCCTATGGGGCCACGAAGCGCTGTCCTGCGTGGGGGAGACGCATGCGAACGCCCCCAGTGGGGCCTTCGGTGGAGCTCCCTATGGGGCCATGAAGCGCTGTCCTGGGTGGGGGAGACGCATGCAAACACCCTCACTGGGGCCTTCGGTGGAGCTCCCTATGGGGCCACGAGACGCTGTCCTGGGTGGGGGAGACGCATGCGAACACCCCCACTGGGGCTTTCGGCGGAGCTCCCTATGGGGCCACGAAACGCTGTCCTGGGTGGGGGAGACGCATGCTAACACCCCGATTGAAGCCTTCGGTGAAGCTCCCTGGGGCCGCGAAGTGCTGTCTTGGGTGGGGGAGACGCATGCGAACACCCCAACTGGGGCTTGGTGAAGCTCACAATGGGACCACAAAACGCTGTCCTGCGTGGTGGGGGAGACGCATGCGAAACCCCCCAGTGGGGCCTTCAGTGGAGCTCTCTATGGGGCCACGAAACGTTGTCCTGGGTAGGGGAGACGCATGCGAACATTCCGATTCTGGCCTTGGGTGGGGCTCCCTATGGGGGGGGAGACGCATGCGAACGCTCCCACTGGGGCCTTCGGTGGAGCTCCCTATGGGGCCACGAAGCGTTGTCTTTGGTGGGGGAGACGCATGCGAAAACCCCCACTGGGGCCTTCGGTGGAGCTCCCTATGGGGCCACGAAGCGTTGTCCTGCGTGGGGGAGACGCATGCGAACACCCCGATTGAGGCCTTCGGTGGAGCTCCCTATGGGGCCATGAAGCGCTGTCCTGGGGGGGGGAGACGCATGCAAACACCCTCAGTGGGGCCTTCGGTGGAGCTCCCTTTGGGCCAGGAAGCGTTGTCCTGGGTGGGGGAGACGCATGCGAACACCCCCACTGGGGCTTTCGGTGGAGCTCCCTATGGGGTCACGAAGCGCTGTCCTGGGTGGGGGAGACGCATGCTAACACCCCGATTGAAGCCTTCGGTGGAGCTCCCTATGGGGCCACGAAACGTTGTCCTGGGGGGGGGAGACGCATGCGAACACCCCTACTGGGGCGTTCGGTGAAGCTCACACTGGGACCACGAAGCGCTGTCCTGGGTGTGGGAGACGCATGCGAACACCCCCAGTGGGGCCTTCGGTGGAGCTCCCCATGGGGCCACGAAACGTTGTCCTGGGTGGGGGAGACGCATGCGAACACCCCGATTCTGGCCTTCGGTGGAGCTCCCTATGGGGTCACGAAGCGCTGTCCTGGGTGGGGGAGACGCATGCGAACGCCCCCAGTGGGGCCTTCGGTGGAGCTCCATATGGGGCCACGAAACGCTGTCCTGCGTGGGGGAGACGCATGCGAACACCGGAGGAGGAGGAGGAGGAAGAGGAGGAGAGGAGAGGAGAGGAACGCGGGGCGCTGTCGCTGCAAATCAGGGCCCAACACCACAAAATGGTTGGGAAAAAACGCCAGGGATGGCTGCCTCGATTTTCGGGCCACCGGGCCATAGCTCGGTCTCCGGTGGCCGTTCGGGACGATCCGGGCGCCCCGGAACACGTTTCGGCGAGGCGCAGCCGCTGGAAGGTATCCCAGGGCAGGAGAGCCGCTGAGAACCGACGAAATCGTCCGAAAACGTCGAACTTCGAGCCCGAAGCTTTCCCTCGAGTCCCCCCATCGAGCCTGCTGGCCCGACCGTTCGGCGAGCGGAGCGCCCGCGCCGCGCGGCAGAAAGCAGGCCTGTGCGGGGCCTGCTGGTGCTGCTGTGCGCCGCAGCCGCGGCGTGGTGGTGCGGCCCCTCGTTCGCGGTGCCCTCCCCGCAAGTGCGAGGCGCCGAGGCCCTTCCGCCGCCGCTCGGCGAAGGTGGCGGCGGCAACGGTTCTCCGATGCAGTCGCAAGGTGGGCGTGTTGGGGATCGCTCCTCCTCCTCTTCCCCCTCCTCCTGTCCCTGTGCTTCTTCCGTAGGCGTCCAGTAGAGCTGGGCCATCGTGTAAAGGCACGCGTGGGCAATAGTTTGTATCGAGAAAGTGGATAATTATTGTTCTAGCTGTCCGATAGCCGTGAACAGCAGCCGTCAGCAGCAGCAGCAGCAGCACCAGCAGCTCCTCCTCCTCCTCCTCCTCCTTCTCCTCACCCCCAGACGTGCCGGTAGGGCTGGCTGGGTTTTTGGCCCGAGACCTCCACCATTTCTGTTCCAGAAATTAACAATAGTTTCAAGGATGCAGTGCGGACCGTCTGCAAAATGTCGGCTTTCGCCCTAGCGCCGCGCGCATTCGTCTTAACAGTTTGCAGCAGTTTCAGGAATGCACGAGGACGGTTTTCAAAATGTGGCTCTTGCCTCAGCTTGGCGTGCATTCGATTGGAAAACCCTTCAGCATTTTTGAGGATGAAGGGAGGTTCCTTTTCAACATGTGGCTTTCGCCTTAGCTCTCGTTTCAGGGATGAAGGGTGGTTCCTTTTCAACATGTGGCTCTCACATTGGCGCCGTGTATGTTCGTCCGAAAAGTTGAAAGCTGCTTCAAGGATTGAGGGTGGTTCCGTTTCAAAGTGGGGCGTTTGCCTTAGCGCCGCACGCATTCGTCTCAACATTTTGAGCAACAATGCTTGAGCGCAGGTCGTTTTCCAGATGCATGGAGTTGTCTGCTCAGCGCCGTGTATATTCGCTATGAACAAATGGTAACATTCACTAGCATGGGCGACTGCTCGTTATCAAAATAGAACTCTCGTTTCAGGCCTCTCATATGCCGGAAACCCGGCTCAGGGGCCCTGTGTCCCCTAAAGGCACCCTCCCCTCCCGGAGCATCCGCAGAGCCTCCCAATGGGCTCCCACAGGAGGCTCCCGGATTTTTGCAAAAATGCCACGGTTGCCTTGAGACGGTCCCAATAGGCCCCCGCGCCCCCCCAAGAGGATCCCAGCGATACAAATGGGCCCCAAGATGGCCCCCAAAGGCCGCCAGAGTGCCCACAAGGGACCTCTGAGGGGCAAAATTAGTCAAAAACCTAAAGATATCTATGGGGTTTTCTAATGCTCTGGAGTTCCAACTTGTTGACAACATGTGGCTCCAAGATAGCCTCGGAGCCCCAAAAGGTCCCCCATGAGAGTTTCAATATTTCCCCAGGATTGCTCAGGACTGCCCCGCGAGAGCTCCACGAGAGCCGACGACGGCCTCCAGAGGAGCCCAAGGCGGCCCAAGAGGGTCCCAAGACGGTCCGAAGAGGCCCCCAGGCTCCCCCATGAGGCTCCGAGCGCTACAAAGGGGCCCCAAGACGTGGCCAAGATGCCGCTGGAGTGCCCACAGAGGACTTCCAAAGAGCCGAACCAGTCAAAAACTTATGAAATCCCAAAGGATTTTCACAGTTTTCTGGAGTTCCCACTTTCGAAGTGTAGCTCCAAGATGGCCTCGGAGGCTCAACATGTCCCCAAGAGAACCCCGATATTGCCCCAGAATGGCCCTGGACTGCGCCGCGACAGCTCCAAGAGGGCCGACGACGGCCTCCGGTGGAACCCCAGACGGCCCGAGAGGAGCCCAAGACGGTCCCAAGAGGCCCCTTAGAGAGGCCCTAAGGACGGCCCACAGAGAGGCCTTAAAGACGGGTTCCCCCAGGAGTCGCTCGGCACCACAGAGAGGCCTTACGGCGGCCCAAGAGGCCGCCGTAGTGCCCACACAGGAACTCCACGAGGGCCAGCCCAGTAACAGCTTTTTCACGATTCGCCAAACAGTGCTGTACTTAAGGGTTCTTACTTCTCCTCTAAGGAACTGGACCTGTCTGCCCGTCTGGCGGCTACGTTGCCGCCATCGCCGCCCCGTCGCCGCCTCGTCGCCGCCCGTCGTCAGGGCCTGTCTGTTGGTCTGGCGGCTATGTTTCCGCCGTCGTTGCCCCGTCGCCGCTTCGTTTCCGCCCGTCGTTTGGGCCTGTCTGCCGTTCTGGCGGCTATGCTGCCGCCGTCGCCGCCCCGTCGCCACCTCGTCGCCGCCTCGTCGCAGCACAAAATATAGGAAGTCGGATCCACCGCTCTCCAGAGGCTGGACTTATCCGCCCCCTGGGGATGTGCAGTTCACACATGATTCTGATCCATCGTTCATTGTGAACATGATTTCATACCATCCTGCCTGGCCGGTATCGACCACATCTCATCTCTGGCAAAAAAAGCATGCGCGCACACTTCTTCATCTTCGAAGATCCTTTCCAATAGTCCTTCGCCAAAACTGGGACGAAGTACGCGCGCGTGCGCGTCGTCGCGCGCCGACACCCTTAACAAACTTCGGTCTCGTAAGACTGTCGACATCGAGTGCCCCGAAAACATATAAAACATCAATCGTTTCGCAGCAGGAACTTTCAAAAAAGCATGCGCTCGCGCATTTGCGAATTTTGAAGAACTCGACCATTTCCAACATTTTCGTCGCACGACCAAGCGTGCCCCTCGCGCGCATGTCGATGTCATTCCTTCCCGAGTGCGGAGTTAACGGTCCCCCCTCGGTGCAGTTTACACATGACTTTGCCACATCGTTCGTTCTGATAAGAAAGTGGTATGATCCTAGCTCAGCTGGTATCGCCACCCAGCGATCCTCTGCAAAAGACATTGTGCGCGCTTGTTTACGAAATCCAAGACATTTGCAATCACCTATTATAGCAAACGTGACCAAATGCACTCGCGCGCGTCGTCGCGCGCGCGCCGAAATCCTTCGCTTCCCCAAGATATCAAAATCGAGTGTCCTGAAAACAACTCAAAAATGATCGTTCAACAAGGTTTGCGCGTGCGATCTTTCGAATTCTCAAGAACATCCATGTGTTTTCAACCTTTTCCTCAATTTCGACCAGACGTGCGTCTCTCGCGCGCGCGTCAAAATCAGTCGCGCACTTTTGCGCGCGTTCTGGGCGTACGCGGTCCCTGTCAAATAACACCACGCGGGCCACTCGCGCGCGTCGGCCGCGCGCGCGTGTCGGCCGCGCGCGCGTGTCGAAATCCTTGTCGCAACTTTCATCGCCGACGCGTGGACGCCATCATCGACATCGGCGTGACAAGCAGCGGCGCCGTCATTGGCCTCGCCGTCGTCATTGTCATCGTCGCCACATGCATCGCTACAATCATCTACGTGTTTGCCCGCGCGTCAGCGCGGCCTGCGAAACGCGCTGGGAGTGCCCAGCGGTCAGCGCCACCGCAGCCGCGTCGGTCGCGCCAGACTAGCTGGCCGCTCTGCGCGCGAGCCTGCGCGCGCTAGCGCGGCTGCAGCGATGCGTCAGCCAGCGCCAAGCAGCCATCGCAATCTCCGCCGCATGGGTTTTGTAACCAAGTTGCCGGTGGGGTGGCTCCACAATGCTTCGGAGGCCCAAAAAATCCCCACGACGGGCCCAATCTGGCCCAAGGATGCGCCGGGACTGCCACGAATAGTAACCTTCAGTGTGGCTTCAGACACCAGCGCGTGGGCTTCCAAGCCAAGGGCCCGATCATCTGGACACGGCCCCTCTGGCGCGCAATACGCTGGGCCCCATGGCAACTAGAATTTGATAACTCGCGAAGCGCGCGATAATTCTAGCCCTAAGTGCCGCATGTAGTAATGAACGGGTCCAGGGCTGCTCGTTTTCAAAACGAACATGGCGCTACCCCTAATAAGGGAAAGCATCCTATCGCATGGGCGCAGTGCTTGGCATTGCTCGAGTTTGCTTGGCATTGCTTGGCGCTGCTTGACATTGGTTGGCGTTGCTTGGCGTTGCTTGGTGTTGCTTGGCATTGCTTGGCATTGCTTGGCGCTGCTTGGCATTGCTTCGCATTGCTTGGCATTGCTTGGCATTGCTTGGAACGGGCACACTAAGAATACGAGGCGCGGGGGGCGGGGACCCCGGGAAACCCCAGGAACCCGGGGAACCCGGGGAACCCGATAAACCCAGGGAACCCAGGAAACCCGGGGAACCAGTAACTCGGGGAACCCGGGGAACCCGAGGAACCGGGGAACGTCGGGAACAGGGGGATCCGCGGTTTCCGCGGGGGAACCTGGGGAACTTGAGGAACCTTTACGGACATAGTAGTCACCCGAGGCACCAACGTTTAATCAAGGAAGAACCACTTCGGCAAGCCGAATTGGGGAACCGAGCTGTCGCGCGAGGTTTTCTTGAAGTTCATGACCACAGGTGTAAGCCTGTGCGACAGTTACACGGGTGGGGGGCGGTCCTGCTTAGAATGAAAAGTCTCGAAGGACATGTCGTTGTGTAGTCATAGTTTTCGCCTTCCTGATTGCGCGCCAGAAGAAAACAAGGCACTTTTTTTCAAAGCGGCGCCCTCGTCAAAATTGCAGGCCTCATTGCGCTGGTTTTTCAAGGGGATACGTCTCTTGTAGTGTAAGGGGAAGCTTACAGGGACGTATGAAGAGGGGACTTGGGACAGGAGGATGTATTGCAGCATCTTGGGTTTCCTCTGGTCCTTCTCCTTTTCCTCACCTCCTCCTCGTCCCTTTCTCTTCCCTCCCCCTTGGGGGTTAGGAGGCAACCTGACTGCATTGGAGACGACGGCGGCGGCGGCGACGATCTCCATCACCAGAGCCCGACAGGGAGCGAGGCTCGGGACGGGGGCGAGGCCTGCAAGCAGGGGGAGAAGAAACACAGTTGTAGGCGGTGTTCTGTCTTCGGTTGCGGCCTCTTCGGGGCCCTTGGGGGTCCGCATGGGCCCCCGAGAACGAGAAGTCGACCCGTGGACGACAGGCCGACCAGGGTGGACACCGGGAGGAGTCCACGGACCGATCTTGAGCGGATGGTCGGGAGGAGCAGGAGGAGCGACGTACAGTCAAGATGCTGAACTAACGAGCAGTTCGGGTTCGGAACGGGCTCACGGCTCACGGTTCTTGAGGTTCATGGTCCATGGTTGTTTCTCCAGGGAGGGACTTCGTTCCTTGTTCAGCGTCCCTTGCTTGTGGTACTAGCTTGCCTGTGCACCGATCCCGGATCCAGCACGGACCTGGCCACGATCGGTGTGAGGGTATGTCAGAGGCCAGCAACATATGCACAGGTACGAGGTCGGCTTCTGGTTGTGTTTTGAGCGCGGTCGCTCGTGAACGCGTGATTACGGAGGGCGCATATGTACAGACGCTTTGGCTTGCTCACATATATTCGCAGACCGCATGTGTGCACCGTGCAGCGTTGGCGCCTCTCGAGGCGTCGTCGATCCTCGACACAGGAATTGTATGGTGCATGATTTTTCCGCCCGCCGAGCCAAACAACTATGCACCGTACCGCGTTGGAGCGGGGCCTGAAGGGATTGAAAACACGGTACGGTGTATAGGCGTCGTTCTCGTAGTGTATTTTGCGCCCAGCCTCCGCCGTGCTATTCACCGCCAGCCGATGCTCCCCCCCCCCACGGCGCATCGAGAGGTGGGTGTCGCCGACGCCCGCGGCCTCTCCAGGGCGGCAGCACGGGGGACGAGAGTCTCCCCCGTTCTTCACTTCTCATTGTCGGTTCCTCGACCGTGGGGAGAGGAACCACACACACACACACACTGCTCGCCACTCTTCCCTCCCCCCCCCGTGCTAAGCGCCGCCGGCCAGCGCTCCCCGGCCCTCCCCCCGCGGCGCCTCGAGAGGTCGGCGTCGCCGCCACCCACGGCCTCTCTGGCGAGGCTGCTCTACCAGGCCTGGGCGCGGGCGGCACGAGGGGGCCTTTGACGTCGTCGTCGTCGTCGTCGTCGTCGTCGTCGCCGTCGTGGCCTGGGCGCGGGCGGCACGAGGGGGCCTTTGACGTCGTCGTCGTCGTCGTCGTCGTCGTCGTCGTCGTCGTCTTCGTCGTCGTCATCATCATGGTTGTCGTCGCCGCCGCCGCCGCCGCCTCACCCCAGACCCCCGACGTAGTGATTTTTGGCAGCGTGGACTCCGGAAGTCTCGACCTCTTTCCCAGGACCAGTTTTTCATCCTGAGCCGTTTTTTGTTGGTCCTGGGACCCGGCGAGGGCCCCTGGAGGCCGAACGCAGCCACGAAAACGTCCGTCGTGACTTTTTCAGGTCGCGAGGGGCTCTGGGACGGGCACGGTCACGGCCACGGCCACGGCCACGGCGGTGATGGCGACGGCGACGGCGACTGCGACGACGACGTGCGGGGCCCGGGCAGGCTTCGCCGGCGCCCGGGCCGCCTTCGGCGGCGCCGCCGCGTATCAGAAGCCACCGCCCGCTGGGCAGGCCGCCGGGCGGAGCGCGCGCCCCTGGGGCTGCAGGGGCCCCGAGGAGGGCTGCGCAGATCGGGCCCCCCGAACGGTGCGGTGACCACACCGTGTGGTGATTCGCTGGGGGTTCTGAGTTTCCGGACGTCTTCGTCGGTTCTCGGCTGCTTCTCCAGCCTCGGGATACTTTTCAGCGGCTGCGCCTCGCCGAGAGGCGTCCAGGGGTGCCCAGGTCGTCCCTGACGGCCGCCAGAGACCTGAGTCAAAGCCCAGAAACCGACAGCATTCGGAAGAGGGCTGGTGTGGTGAGACTGGGGGTTTCGGGGTGACCGCACGGTTTTGGGGCTCGGGTCGTTCTCCGAGGATGCGGTCTCCAGGGTCCCAAAAGCGCGCGGTGACGGATTGTGCGGTGAGCTTTTTGGGGATTCCGAGGTCACCGCACGGTCTGTCACCGCACCGTTTCGGGACTCCCGATCCAGGGGCTGGGGGGAGGGCCTCGCATGCCGCATACCTGCAAATATCCAGATCTCTGCCGATCTGTTCTGTTGAACCGGCGTCTTTTCACCGACTTCGGCCCTCGGGGGATTTTATAGGGTCCTTGGGACCAAAAACGGATCTGGGGCGAAACGCTGCCCCTCATGACAGCTGCTCCGTCTGCCAACTCTTTGGCTTCCCGAGGCCGTTGCCTCCAGATCGCACAGATAGGATCCCAGCAGATGGGGAGGTGCGGCTCGATTAGAGGCCGGATTGTTGTCTCTGTTCCGATAGCCAGGGGAGCGGAAGAGTACCGCTGCTCGTAATGCAGAGCCCTCGTCGCCATGGCTGGATTCTCTTTGAGATTCTGGTCAGAATGCACCCCTTGAGAGGCCGGGGGAATTGCCGTATTGGTACTGTTTGGCTCCACCAGATAGAAGCTGATGCGTGGCCGTTGCATCGGCGGTGCAGAGTGGTCCTCCAATCCCATCTGCTCGGGCCCCATCTGGGTGGCCTCCAGTTCCTGGGCCCGGGACCGTCAAGAAAGAATTGGCTCGGGATGCGGAGCTGGCCTGGTAACACCGGTAAGGCTTCGGGTTGCGCACAGAGACCCCCCAGACAGTCTCAGCTGGCCTCAGCAGGCCCCCAAGTAGTTCCGGCTGGCCTCAATAGGCCCCCCGAATAGTTCGGGGTGGTCTCAACACCCGAACCTTGGGGCGCGGGGTGCCCCGAGGGCGTCGCATGAGGCGGCGCCAGGGTGTTCAGACCGCGCCAGACTTCGCGGGAGGTCGGTTGAGGCTGGCTGGGTCTGCTGGGGGGTGGATATCATGGCCGGGGTACTAAAACCTCCAGGTTCCCATGCCCCCCTCTGCTTATTTCAATGCGCCCCCTGGCCCTTCGCGGCCGCGCACGTGCCTCGGGCCATGCTCTGCTGACTCCCCCCAGGCATCCGACGATCCGTTTTTTCCATGCGCTGCCGCAGAGGTCCCGACCCCTGTAGCCTTTCGCCCCAGATCCGCACTTGATGCTCCGGGGGCCCGAAAGCGGCCCACGGAGGCAGAAACCGAGTAAAAGTGCCCAGATCGAGCGCATCATATCGTCGTAGGTCTGCATGGGCCTCTTCCACGCCCCCCCTCTTGGACGCCTCCGAGGGAAGGGGTCCAGGCACCGCGGGCCACTCCACGATAGCGCTGCAGTGCTGGATGAGGGGACCCCTCCGGCGCCCAGGAGGAGGACCTGGCACGGCACGGCCTCGGCTCGGCGAGCGGCGAAAATATCGAAGACGCCCACGGCGAATCACCGCCGCTCCCTGCCAACGTTTGGGCAAAATTTGGCCACGCTATTGGGCTATGCGTTCCTCCAGCCGTTGTGGAAGCCCTTCGGGGAACACGTAGGGGAGGAAGAGGAGGATAATGAGATGGAGGAAAACGGAGGGTGAGGAGAAACATGAGGAGACCTCTTGGGATCTTCTTGGGTCATTCTTGGGGCCTCCTGGGAGCTTCCTGGGGGCCTCCTGGAGGCCCCTTAGGGGCCTCCTCGGGCCTCTTGGGGTCCTGGCCCGTCTGACGCCGTCAGAAGCAATCTTGGGAGCCTCTCTGGGCCGTCTGGGGGCCCTCTTGGGGCGCTTCAGGGTCGTCTTGAAGGCCATCTTGGGCGTCCTGGAGGCCTCTTGGGGCGTCTTTGGGTCCTGTGGGGGCCGTTTTGGGAGCCTCGTGGGTCGTCCTGGGGCCATCTTGGATGCCTCTTGGGCGATCTTGGGGCAATCTTGGGGGCCTCTTGGGCCTTCGAAAGGCCGTTTTGAAGCAAATGCCAGGATCCTCCAGTTCATGATTTTGACCTCTTCGGGTCTTCCTGTAGGTCCTTTTGGAGGTCTCTTGGGCCGTCTTGGAGACCTCGTGGGAGCTTCTTAGGCCGGCTTGGGCCATCTTGAGGCCATCTTACACTGTCGTGAGTGCATCTTGGGCCGTCTGGGCCACACTTTTCGGCCATCTTGGGCTCTCTTACGGCCATATTGGCCGTCTTGGCCGTCTTGGAGGCCATCTTGAAGCCATCTCAAGCGAAAAAAGCGACGGGAGGTGTGTTTTGAGGATCTTTCCGGGCAGCTGGCGGGCTGGGCCGAAGCCCCACAGGGAGTCTTTTAGAAACAAAAGCAAAAATAGCCAGACTGGCAAGACCACAGGGGGCGGCGGATCGAAGACGCCTACGGCGAATCTTCGCCGCCCCCTGCCCTTTCGGAAGCGCCTATGTGGGCGAACGTTGTGGCCAGAGGCCTGCCAAGCTATCGGACCATGTGTTCCCGAATCGGTTTGGAAAGCTTTCGGGGAACACGTGGGGGAGAATGAACACGAAGAGGAAGAGGAAGAGGCCTCTTGGGCCGTCTTGAGCCGATGGAAGGGCGTGAAGAAACACATGCCAACATCTTTGAAACACTTAGGGAATATTCATGATTTTGGTCTTTTGGGGACCTCCTGGAGGACCTCTTGGAGGCCTCTTGGGGGCCTCTTGGGTCGTCTTGGGCAATATTGACGCCATGTTTGGCCGTCTTGGAGGCATCTTGGGCCGTCTTGGAGGTATATTGGGGGGCGAAGCTATCGGACCATGTGTTCCCTGAGTCGGTTTGGAAAGCTTTCGGGGAACACGTGGGCGAGAATGAACGTGAAGAGGAAAAGGAAGAGGAAGAGTAGGAGGATGAGGCTTCTTGGGAGTCTCTTGGGGCACCCTTGGGGCCTGCTGGGAGCTTCTTGGGTGCTTCTTCGAGGCCTCTTTGGGGCCTCCTTATGCCTGCTGGGAGCCTTTGGAGGCTTCTTGGGGGCTTCTCGAGGGGCTCTTTGGTCGTCTTGGGGCGTTCCTGGCCCGTCTGACGCCGTCGGAAGTCGTTTTGGGGCCCTCTCTGGGCCATCTTGGGGCCCTCGGGGGGCGCTTCAAGCCGTCTTGGAGACCATCTTGGGCGTCTGGGAGGCCTCTTGTGCCGTCTTCGGGCCCTCCTGGGGGCGTCTTGGAGGCCTCTTGTGTCGTCATGGGGCCATCTCGGAGGCCTCGTGGGCGATTTTGGGCGATCTTGGGAGCCTCTCCGGCCGTCCTCGGCCGACGGAAAGCCCAAAAGACTCAAATGCCAAAATCCTTCAAACACCTAAGGACAATCAACGATTTTGGGCTCTTCGGGCCTCGTTGAGGACCTCTTGGAGGCCTCTTGGGCCATATTGGAGGTCTCTTGGGGGCCTCCTGGGCCAACTTGGGCCATCTTGATGCAATTTTTGGCTGTCTTGAGTGCATTATGGATTGTCTTGGAGGCCTCGTGGAGCCATCTTAGCCGTCTTGGAGGCTATCTTGGCCGTCTTGGATGCATCGTGGAGGCCATCTTGGGCCCTCTTGGAGCCGTCTGGACCCGGAAAAACCCTTTGGAACCGGGTCGTGGCACATTTTCGGCATCATTTCGGGTGGCCGGCGGGACGGGCCGAATCCCCAGGGGGAGTTCTTTTTGGAACAAGAGCCAGAACCAAAACCGAGAGGGTTTAGCACGCCAGGCACCCCTGCGATGAATCGACAGGGGGCGGCGGATCGAAGACGCCTACGGCGAATCACCGCCACCCCCTGCCTTTTTGGAAGCGCCTATGTGGCCGAACGTTGAGGCCAGACCTGCCAAGCTATCGGACCATGTGTTCCCCGAATCGGTTTGGAAAGCCTTCGGAGAACACGTGGGCATCTTGAAGGTCATCTTGGCCGCCTGGAGGCCATTTTGACCCTTTCGGGCTTCTTGGAGGACGTCTTGGAGGGCTCTTGGGCCGTCTTGGAGACCATCTTGAGCGTCTTGGAGGCCTCCTGGGCCGTCTTGGGGGCCTCTTGGGGCCGTCTTGGGCCTCTTGGGCGATCTTTGGGGGCACTTGGGCCGTCTCGGGCCGTCGGAAGGCCGAGAAAAAGCAAATGCTACAATCCTTCAAAAACTCATCGGAAATCAATGATTTTGGCCTTTTCGGCCCTTCCTGGAGGCCCTCTTGGAGGCCTCTTGGGCCGTCCTGGGCCATCTTAGGGCCATCTTCGGCCGTCTTGGTGGGCTCCTGGCCCGTCCGACGCCGTCGGCAGCCGTTTGGGGGGCCCCTCTGGGCCGACTTGGGGCCCTCTTGGAATGCTCCAGGGCCGTCTTAGAGGCCATCTTGGGCGTCTTAAAAGCCTCCTGGGCCGTCATGGGGGCCTCTTGGGCCGTTCTGGGGCCATCTTGGAGGCCTCTTGGGCGATCTTCGGGCGATCTGTGGGGGCTCTTGGGCCGTATTGGGCCGTCGGAAGGCCGAACAGAAGCAAATGTCAACATCCTTACAAAGCCAAGGGGAAATCAATGTTTTTGGCCTTTTCTGGCCTTCCTGGAGGCCCTCTTGGAGGCCTCTTGGGCCGTCTTGGGCCAGCTTCGAGCTAACTTCGGCCATCTTGGGGGGTTCCTGGCCCGTCTGACGCCGTCGGAAGCCATTTGGGGGGCCTTTTTGGGCCGACTTGGGGCCCTCTTGGGGTCCTCCAGGGCCGTCTTAGAGGCCATCTTGGACGTCTTGGAGGCCTCTTGGGTCGTCTTGGTGCCCTCTTGAGGCCATCTTGGGGGCCTCTTGGGCAGTCCTGCGGCCATCTCGGAGGCCTCTTGGGCGCTGTGGGGGCGATCTTGGGGGCCTCATGGGCCGTCTTGGGTCGTCGGAAAGCCGAAAAGGAGCAAATACGAAACATCTTTAAAACCTAAGGACAATTAATGATTTTGGTCTCTTCGGGTCCTCCTGGAGGACCTCTTGGCGGCCTCTTGGGCCGTCTTGGAGGCCTCTTGGGCACCTCTTGGGCCGTCTTAGGCCGTCTTGGAGGTTTCTTGGGCGGACTTGGAGGCATCTCCTCCTCTCTTGGGCGGGCTTGGAGGCCATCGGAGGCCATCTTGGAGGCCACCTTGGGCCAACGTGGCCATCATGGAGGCCACCTTGAGCCGTCTTGGAGGATTTTCCGCAATTGAGGTCCTTTCCGGGTGGCCGGCGGGACGGGCCGAAGCCCCAGGGGGAGTTCTTTCGGACACATAACCAAAACCAAAACCGAGAGGGTTTAGCACGCCAGGCACCCCTGCGATGAATCGACAGGGGGTGGCGGATCGAAGACGCCTATAGCGAATCACCGCCGCCCCCTGCCTTTTTGGAAGCGCCTATGTGGCCGAACGTTGAGGCCAGACCTGTCAAGCAATCGGACCATGTGTTCCCCGAATCGGTTTGGAAAGCCTTCGGAGAACACGTGGGCATCTTGAAGGTCATCTTGGCCGCCTGGAGGCCATTTTGACCCTTTCGGGCTTCTTGGAGGACGTCTTGGAGGGCTCTTGGGCCGTCTTGGAGACCATCTTGAGCGTCTTGGAGGCCTCCTGGGCCGTCTTGGGGGCCTCTTGGGGCCGTCTTGGGCCTCTTGGGCGATTTTTGGGGGCACTTGGGCCGTCTCGGGCCGTCGGAAGGCCGAGAAAAAGCAAATGCTACAATCCTTCAAAAACTCATCGGAAATCAATGATTTTGGATTTTTCTGGCCTTCCTGGAGGCCCTCTTGGAGGCCTCTTGGGCCGTCCTGGGCCATCTTAGGGCCATCTTCGGCCGTCTTGGTGGGCCCCTGGCCCGTCCGACGCCGTCGGCAGCCGTTTGGGGGGCCTCGCTGAGCCGACTTGGGACCCTTTTTGAATGCTCCAGGGCCGTCTTGGAGGCCATCTTGGGCGTCTTAAAAGCCTCCTGGGCCGTCTTGGGGGCCTCTTGGGGCCGTCTTGGAGAATTTTTTGCGGACGTTGAGGTCGTTTGCGGTCCTGGAGTTCCCTCCCGGGACCCCGGCGGGACGCGCCGGAGCCCCAGGGGGAGTTCTTTTGGAAAAGAACCAAAGCCGAAACCGAAATCATCTAGCACGCCAGTCACCCCTGTGATGAATCAACAGGGGGCGGTGGATCCAGCGGTCTCCGGCCCACCCGCCACCGTGCCTGAGGCGTGAACATTTAGGTCAGTCACCCTCTGGGGCGCGAAGGTCATCGCGTTTCGCGCGTCGCGGCGTCCCGGCCTGGACTGGATAGCGGGCCATTCTCCAGGGGGGGCGGCGTGAGGGCGCGAGGGCGCGAAGAGAATCGCGCGTCGCGCATCACAGAGCGCGATGCGCAAAGCTCTGTGACTTGGAATCCTGGACTCGAAGCTGGAGTTCCCGTGCGAGCACGCGTCGCCCTCGACCTTCATTCGTTTGGACGGAGGACCGAGGACAGAGGCTCGGTCTTCGAGGTTTCTGGAGGTGGGTTGGTGCTTTCTGTTTGGGCCTCGAGAGTCCTCTAAAGGCCTCTTGGGAGCGTTTGCATTTTTCTGCGGTACAAGTTCTGTCCATGTCCCACGCTGGCTGGCTGTTAGATGGATTGTTCACCCATGCCCTGCACAGGGCCGAGCAGCCGACAGGCCTGCTCGTGTGGCTCGCTCGCTCGAGAGGCTTATGGAGGCCTCCTGGGTTCTCCGGGGAGACCTCTGGAGACCAGAGAAACCTGTGGTCTGCGGGTGGCTTCTCGGCGAGGGGTGCCTACCGCCCCAAGGGGTAGCATTGCATCTGACTTGAGCATTGCGTGAAGTCGTGAAGAGGTGCGAACCCATGCGTAGGCGCCTGGCTGCCTTGCTTGCTCGCTTGCAGGTACGCGCGCACATGTTCGCCGACTGTCCCCAGCCCAGATACTCCCCTGCGTTGCCGCCAACCTCCTTGGCCCGCCTTGCTCCCGAGCGTCCCCGACTGCCTCCCCAGACATTCGATGTCTTGTTTTGTCAATCCCTGGAAGTCCCGGCCTTTTCCCCAGGGTTTGTTTTTCATCCCGAGTAGTTTTTTGACCACCCCAGCGCCTGGCGAGGGCCTCTTGCGGCCAAAAGCGGCCAAGAACCTCCCATCCTGATTGTTTTCACGACGCGAGCATGTCGGGGTCTGCATCTGGTGATGCCCTGCGCTGTCGACAGTTTCCCTGACCAGCCCTCTCCCCGTCCCTCCCACTGCCTGATGCTGCCTTGCGCTGACGCCGAGCTCCCCGGCCAGGGCCTCCCGACCCCCGGTGCCGCCCTGCGTTTGCCAGGGATCTCCGTGGTGGGCCCTGTGCTCCCGACGGTCTCCAACCCAGGCGGCGTTGAGGGAGTTTTCGAGCATTTTCGGAAGCTTTCGAGACCTGGGTAGTCTCCATCAGATGCGACTCGTCGAGAGCGTTCCAGGGGTGCCGAAATCGTCCCAAGCAGGCCGCCGGAGGCCTGAGTTCTCACGCGAAAGCCGGACGACGAGGATCACCGCGGGGGATAGGCTCAGGGGGGGACAGGGGCCTAACATCTCCTGCCTGCACATGAGCGTCCGGTTTCGCTATTGATGGCCTGCCGCCGATCCATGCGGTGCATCGCCGATTGAAGTTTGATGCTTCCCCTCCTGAGCTGCCCCCCCCAAGTTCCCCCTCGTTAGGATGCAACTCCTGGGAGGTTAAGGTCAGCATCGGCGCTGGTATGTCCGTGGTCGAAAACAGGCCTATCCTAGGAAAATCCCGCTTAATCTGGCCTACGCCCGCGAAATCAGGTACAATCTTGGGATGAATCTATGCAGATCTTGGGGTCGAACAGGTGCTTGCACGCGCACCCGCGCGGGGCCGCGCGCGCGCTCGGGTGCGATTCTGGGCCGCCCTCGCTTCGACGCCACGGCGTGCGCCTGGCGGCGGCAACCGAAAAATGGGTTTGTGCTCTTTCGACCGGACTCCGCCGCGTCGCTGCACTCGTGGCCGCAACGCCGAAAAGTCTGCCTGTGTGGCCACCGTGGCGTCTCCCTCTTGCTTCCCCCTCCTCACTCCCTGGCTGTCGTTCCTGGCTCCGTGCTTCTTTGTCCTCTGGCCCTCCTTTTCCCGTGCCTCCGTCGCTGGCGTGGCTGTCCTGCATCAGCTCTGGCGGCTGCCGTTTGCTGCGCATGCGCCTGCCTGGCTCTTCCGCCACGTCGCCGCGCGCGGGGCCGCCGACGCCGAACAAAGAAAGGTGTTGCCGCCCGCACGAGCGCACACGTCTGCCTACGTCTGCCTGCGAGCGTGCGGTCGTGCGCACACCGTCCTTGCGGAGGGCAGGCGGGCCCGCGTGTGTGCGTGCGCGCGTTCTGTGGGCTTGATGCCGCCGCCGCCGCCGCTTGTGACCGTCTTCTCATGCCCCGCGGGTGCGCAGTTTGTTACAGTAGTTCGCGCCCTTTCCTGGTCCGACGGCGTTGTGCTTCACATCGCTGCGGCCCTCCGGAAAGTGCGCGTGCGCGCGTTCTCGGGTCTGCGATTGCGGTGACCGCGCCGTCTGGGAGGGGCTTGGCCGCCCCGGGTGCCGCGTCCAGGGCCCAAGGTCAGTCCACCACAACCGGAAACGTCGGGGCCCTGCAAGTTGTCCTTCATCGGCGGCCCGTGCGGACAGTTGGCCTCCTTCTTCTACAGTGCGTGAGGTTGAAGTCGCCACACCATCCTCGTTGAGAGGATGGTGTGGCGTTTTTAGCGTGCGCGGATGCGTGAAGCGACGAACGCATCATATACATGCCCGCGGGGTCCTGGAGTACAAGGTCCGATCCCCTGGATACGAGGTCCCATGGGTACATTCAGGGCGGGCTATCTTCGCAAAGCTTCCTAGCACCCACGGCGTCGAGGTCGAGGAGTGCTGACCGTGAAGTCGTGGACACGGTTATGTCTCCTGCGCACGAGTGCGATCGTACTCCTACCGCGCGCAACTGCCTGCCGTCCAGTATCGCCTTCCTCTGCCCTTCCTGGCCCCGACGGAGGCTGCCGGGAGCGCCGCCGGCTCGACGACGGATGGGGTGTCTCTGGCCCTGGCGACCGCAGGCTCGCGGGCGAAGTGGGGGGGAAAAGGGGAGGGGTGGATTCGGCGGCGAGCCCGGGGGGAAGTGAGAAGGGGGCGGGCCTTCTCAGAAGGCTCGGAAGTCCCCCGGCCTTCTTAGAAATTTCCTGCGCCTTCCCTGAAGACGCAGGGAGCTTCTCGGAAGGCGCGATGGCCTCTGAGGAAGTCCCGCCGCCTTCAGAGAAGACCTTCTCCTTCTCACCTCCCCCCCTCGCTCGTGGCCGATGGACATGTGCGGCCGAGGTCGGCCTCGGAGGAAGTGCGCAGCCCAGCTCGGCGGCGCGCACGAGCGAGCGGCGTGGCGGGGCGGCCTGCTCAGGAGGCAGGGGGGGGGGGCAGGAGCTTCTTGGGGGGCCCTCCTGCCCTCTGGGAGGCCTCCGCAGACGCCTTTCGGGGCCCTGGGAACGGTGCGCGGGGACGCTTTTGCCGTCCGCAGGTGCGGTCGGGCTGCCACCTCCACCAATGCCAGAGGCCCGGGGGTACGACTCCGAAGCGGTGTGTCCAAACAAACTTGACCCACTCAAGCTCAAAGCTGGACCAGGGAGGCGCCCATGGACGGCCCAAGATGGCCCAACGTGGCCCCGGGAGGGCCCAACAGCGCCCCGTGAGGCCCCGAAGCGATCCCGTCTTGTGGCTCTCTGGCCCTGGGAAAAGTTGCCCGAAAAGTCTCAGGAGCCTGGCGCCACGCCCCAAGAAATCCCGATGTGGGTCTGGGCCCTTCAATCGAGTATCTACAACACTCGAGTACTCGGTACAGGGGACGCTAAGGGACCTGAGGACATTATACTCAGTGCCCATGTCACGGTGGCGAACATACATACGTATTCTGTCGGTGGAAAGCTAGTAAGGGGATGCCTTCTGAGAAGGCAGGGGTGACCCATGCGCAGGGATCGTCCCCCATGGCAGGGGAAGGCTTGTAAGAGGTCCCCTGCCTTGTTAGATGGCAGCCCCCCTCGCGCCACTCCCTTGTGCGCGCCGCAGCCCAGTACCGAACTACCGAAGTGCTCTTGTCGAAGGACCGCGATCATAACCTCTGCTCGTTGCGATTGTAATTCTTGACTCTTCGCGTATCCCACCAACCACCAGGACCGTAACCCCCCCTGGCTCAAGCCGCTCTGGCTCAAGCGGGCCTCAGCGGCTGGCCGGGCCTCCGCCCCTCGGTCCTCGGCCTCCCCGCCCGCGGGGGCGTGCGAGGGGGTCGCCCCCCTCCGCGCCCCCGTTCGCTCGGCCATGGAGTCGCGCTCGGCGCGGCGGCGGCGGCAGCGGCGCGCCGCCGCCTGCTGCGCCGCCGCCGCGGCCGGCCCGGCCGGCCTGCTGCCGCCGCGGCCCGGCGTGGCCCCTGTCGGCCTCGGTGGCCGGCGGCGCCCGCCGCCGCGGCCGCCGCCGCCGCCGCGGCCGCCGCGGCCGTGGCGGCGGCCGGCCGCGGCGAGGCCGCCGCGGCCGCCGGCGCTGTGGCGCGCACTGCCGCGCTGGGGCCTGCCGCGGCGGCCGCGGCCGCCGCGGGTGCGGCGGCCGCCGCAGTGGCCGCTGCGGCCGCGGGTGCCGCCGCGCCCGCCGATGCGCCCGCCGCGGCCGCCGCTGCCGCCGCCGCCGCCGCGGCCGCCTCTGGCGGGCCGCGGGCGGCGGCCGCTGATCGTGAAGCTGGCGCCCAACATCATCACCCACGTCATCCTGAACAGCTGGTGCGAGAAGGGCAGGCCTGGGCAGTGACAGCTGGCCGTGGCGCTGATGGGCGAGACCCTGGTCGTGAAGCTGGAGCCCAACATCATCACGTGCGGCACTGTGAACAGCGTGTGCGAGAGGAGCAGGCGTTGGCTGCGGCAACAGGTTGTGGCGCTGCTAACCGAGACCCTGGTCGTGAAGCTGAAGCCCATGTTCATCAACTCTGGCACGGTGAACAGCGCGTGCGAGAAGAGCAGGCGTCGGCAGTGGCAGCAGGCAGTGCTGCTGCTGGGCGAGATGGTGGCCGCGAAGCTGGAGCCCACCATCATCACCAACGGCGCTGCGAAGAGCGCGTGCAAGAAGAACAGGCGGCAGAAGTGGCAGCTCGTTGTGGCGCTGCTGGGCGAGATTGTGTTCGCGAAGCTGGAGCCCAACATCATCACCTACGACACTGTGAAGAGCGCGCGCGAGAAGAGCAAGCGTCAGCAGTGGCAGCAGGTTGTGGCGCTGCTGGGCGAGATTGTGGCCGTGAAGCTGGAGCCCAACATCATCACCACCTATGTCACTGTGAACAGCGCGTGCGAGAGGAGCAGGCGTTGGCAGTGGCAGCAGTCTGCGGCGCTGTTGATCAAGATCCATGTCGTGAAGCTGGAGCCTCTTATCATCACCAACTGCACCGTGAGCAGCGCGTGCGAGAAGAGCAGGAGTCGGCAGCGGCAGCAGGTTATGGCGCTGCTGAGCGAGACCCGGGTCTCGTAGCTGGAGCCCAACATCATCGCCTACGGCATCCTGAACAGGCCGTGCGAGCATGGCGGACGTTGGCAGTGGCAGCAGGCAATGGCGTTGCTGAACGAAATCCTGTTCGCGAAGCTGGGGCCCAACATCGCCACGTGCGTCGCTGTGAACAGCGCGTGCGAGAAGAGCAGTCGTCGGCAGTGGTTGCAGACTGTGGCGCTGCTGAGCGAGATGGCGGTCTTGCAGCTGGAGCCCAACATCATCGCCTACCGCATCCTGAACAGCTGGTGCGAGAAGGGCGGGCGTTGGCAGTGACAGCAGACAATGGCGCTGCTGAGCGAGATGGCGGTCGTGCAGCTGGAGCCCGAGACAGCGGCGCGCCAGAGGGCGCCCAAGAAGACAGCTGCCGCGCGGAGAATCCCGCTCACCAGTGGCATGCAGAGCTGAAGAACGGCCGCGTGGGCATGCTGGCGACCACGGGCTTCATCGCGCCTGACATCGCTGGCAAGCTTCCCAAGTCGCCTTCGGCCGACCTGGAGGTCGCGGACATCGCGCGCAGGCTCGCTGCGCTCCCGAAGGTTCCTGCCGCTGTCTGGGCACAGATCGTGGCGCCTGGCGCTGACGCGAGAGATCTCGATACTCACAGCGATATTTCGGAACATAGCAGCAGCGGCAGCAGCAGCAGCATGCCACCCCCCGCCTCGTTGGCAGATGATGACGTCCCAGAGGGGGGTCGAGAGGCGGTAGATGAGGCGGAGGAGGTCGCCGTCGATGAGGTTCAGGAGAGCTGCGTCGCGATGCCACCCCCCGCATCGTGGTCAGACGACGACGTCCCGTTGGGGAATCGACAGGCGGTGGCAGGCGGTAGCTTGCAGTGATCAGTGTGCAGCCCGCACTAACACCCCCCCTTCAGCAGTGCCACAGGGCAGAGGACAGGAGTGGGAAGTCACGGCGGAGACGGCGGAGACGGCGGAGGCCGCGGGGGCCGCGGAATATCCCCCTCAGAGCAATGAGTCCGTCAGCAGTCCTCCGTGGGCGCCGCGCGCCCAGCAGGGAGACCACGGAACAACTATCCAGACGCAGGACAACGAAACCATCGGCTGGCTCGTCGGGAGAAACCTCTTCGTGCCTATTCGCCCCCCTTCTCCTGTCAGTGAGGTTCCCGTGGGCGGCGAACCCCAGGCGCCCTCGCCAGGCGCCCAGGGCGCCATTGGCAAAGCAGCTCGCGCCCCGGCTATGGAAGCTGCGCCGCCGAGCGTGCACGCGCCCAGCACAACCAGTTGCACCTCCGAGGCCGGAGAGAGCCCTGCGCTGTCCAGAGGGGGCGCGCCTGGGAGCGAAGGCGGGCGCAGGCCCGAAGGCGAACGCCAGCGAATGGGGCTCTTCCCCACTTGCCACATGGCCGCATCTGCCCTGGCCGCCGGACGCGATCCGACCCCAGCCTGGCGGCCAACCATGCGGCCTGCATTTCCCCGCAAAGCCTGGCCAGGCGTGCAGCTGGAGCGGTCGCGAGCAGATCGCGAGCCCCCCAGCCAGGACAACAAGGCCGATACCGTGGAGACTTGCGGCCAGGATGCACGGCGGCATCAGAGGCCCGACCCGCGTCAATGGCCAGAGCCCAAGGACCCCGACACGGGACAACAGCTGTACAAAACAGGAATCAACAACATCCAGTGGGACCTCCCCGGCGAGACACCTGGCGAGGCGATGCGACGACTCCAAGTCACACTGGGGCCAATGTTCACTGGCACCTGGCACGCTTACGCCAAGCGGCAGTCTGTGCCCGGCAGCAAGGGCGCGCTCGACCCGCTTCGGCACGACCCGCAAACCTGCCACCTCTTCCTGGAATCCTTCCGCAGCCACAAGTGCGACGTACGGGTCCTCAGCGACGCGCTGGGCCTCGACGTCGACTGGGCGCGGCCGTGGCAGCTGCGCCCGGGTCGGAGCGGCGGAGTGAGCAGTGATCACAACGCGGCAAAGGGCTACCCGAACAACCAGGCCCCCAAGAAGCAGAAGAAACAGTGGTGGGCCGTCTCCGCACAGTAGCCTTGCTACCCCCCTCGTGGCATCGGACGCGCGGGGATCTGGTGCGTGGAGGGCGGTCACTGGCAGCAGGCCCGTCGCTGCCCTGCACAGAGTGTGTCTCGCGGCGGCTAGCTGCGCCCCCCTCATCCGCAGATGTTCTCGGCGTGCAGCTGCTACCATGGCACTTGGATGTCCAATCGTAGATGGGGCTCTTGCAGACGCACTCTGCTGGCTCGCTCACACATTGTAAAAGGCATCGCACTCGTGGGGGTCAGGTGCGAGGTGGGTGGTCTCTGGCAGCAGGCCCGTTGCTGCCCTGCGCTCCCTGCGACGTGTCTCGACTTCTGTTTCGTTCAAAACTTCTACTTCTTCATCTTGGCTGTTGTCTACGTGCTGCGTGTGTGGCTATACCGTCGACCTCAGTATTTTCTCCTCTGTCTGCGTGCTGCGCGCGTGGCTATGCCGTGGGCAGTCTGATTTCTACTCTGAGATCCACCTTCTCTGTTGACTGCGAGTTGTACACCGTGCTCTTCAGCGCGATTGGGGATCTCATACATTCTCC